AATTTCTGAGAATAACTGTAAAAGTGGCTTCATCAACTGAGCAACACCGTCTTTAAATATACACGCGGAGGGAGGGAATGAATTAACAAAGACGGCCTGTGAGTGCGCAGTCGATATCTGAACAACGTCACTTATCCCGAGCTTTCGTGTTGCATTATATACATTCTTTACAGCATTCAGAAGAGCTATCTCTAGTTCGTTGTCACTGCCCCCCAAAACTTCATTTCCCACAGCGATGCCGACAATGCGGGTATCGGGAAGGAATGCCTTCACATTATCTTTTACCCAAGTCAGAGCATGATCTGCATTAGCACTCATTTCTTTTACAAATCCATTCGGAAGTCCAACCACCAACTCAAGCCCTGTCCCTTTAAAGGCATTAAGGACACTGGGATCTGCATCATATATTCTAACATTCTTAATTTTTGCTGCTCGAAGGAGTTTAACCACTTTATCAGGTGAAGGGATGTTATCTGCGATTCTCCCATAGTTAATTCCATAAGTTCCAGTGAATGCTCTTGCAGTCAGTTGAGCTGAAAACAGAAGGTGAAGAAAATGCAATAAGTACATTCCACATGTAACACAAGAATGCAGATATAAACTGATGGGCTGAAACTATCTCTGTTAACCAGACTATCAAACCACACGAATTAACTTAATGTTACAAACGGTCCATATAACTAAAATCAACAGAGACTTGCAGGAAAATTCTTCAGTCATATCTTAATTTTTTGGAAATATATGGTAAAAAAACTGTGACATTTGCAAACAAAGCATCACAATAAATACATCAAACAACATTGTCCCTATTCATCAGTTATACAGCTTAATAACCTTATAGGAGTTCTATAGAAATATAAAACTAAGGCTGTTATACCAATCAGTGGCAGAGCCACCCTTGTCCAAGGGGCGTCAATCGCCAGAAAATTACACTGCGCAGATAACAACAACAACAAACCCAGTGTAATCCCATGGGGAGGGTAATGTGTACGCAGACCTTACCCCTACCTTGAGAAGGTAGACTGTGTAGATAGACTAAACAAAATTTATGTATACATACTATATGTTGAATTTCCTTTGACTTCTTTATATTTTTGACTCCTCTTGGTAAAAATCCTAGTTCCGCCTTATCAAATCCATTCACATAAGCAAGAAAGGCTGCTACCAAAATCCACTGCAGAAAGATGAACAGCAAATAGCCGACTCCACACACACACACACACACACACACACACCAAATTACAAGATCCAATTTTTATTAGTTACTGTTTATTTTTAGTTATCAGTACATTTTACGATCATACTCATACATGAACAAGTAACAATAAAGCACATAAGCATATTGATCAAAAAGGAACATCAACAAAGAAAAAGAATCTCAAAAATTCAATATTACCTCGATTACCCAAAAATTCAAAAAACAACAACAAACCCAACAAAATTACAGTCTCCTACACAACCAAACACAGCACAATTTTTTTTATTAAAAAAGGCACAAAATTGTACCATTAGGAGTGAAGATCACCAATAACATAAAAAGGAATCGCAAAAGAATCAAGCGAATCTTCATCATCACTGCACAGCCTAAAAACGACGCCGTCCTCTTTGCCTTTGCAAATTCAAGAAACAGAAAAGCTCAGTCTTTTAGCTTCTTCAACCATTACCCAAGACACCCTTTTAGCTGCTTATCACTTTTCACAAAACCCCACCAATCAAAAAATACGCTAACTTGAGAGATTCTTGATTTTTTTATAAAAGTTAACAAAAAATTGTATATGATACTGGTGGTGGAACACGGTGGTTTACGGCGGCGGAGGACGGAGGTTTATGGGTGGGGTTTTGGCAGTCGTTTGGTTTTGCTGAGTGGGGTTTTTGGTAAGTGAAATTATTTTCAGACAAAGTCCTATATAGTCTTCTTATGTAGAGAGAATGCGAGGTGTTTTGAATTCCATGTTTGGGTTATTGATTTGATTTGAATTTTTATTTAAATTACTTGGAAACTGTGTCAAAAATATTCTCACTGTCAAACGGGGACTTACTGTTACTGCATCGAAGTTTTCTCCACGCGCCTTATGGCCTATGTCCTGCACGAAAAGTGTTGTTTTTCTTCTTTTTTTTTGTATTGTATTTTTATTTATTTAACTCTCTGATATTTGAAATTTATTGATCCGATTAAACTTAAATTCGAGTTGCTAAGACTCATTAAAGAGGAAGCATTTCCTATCCTGAATTCTATTACTCGAATTCTATTAAAACTATCTTACCATATTCCTTGGTTGTTACTTTTTCCTTTTTACTTAAATACAAGAAAAAATGAAAATACAAATTTATTTTTACCTTTTTTTTCTAATTAGAATCATTTCCATACTAATCAAATAACCGAGTTGAGTGAAATATACTTCCTAGATATAAAGGTTTCATTTAAGAAAATAGGATAAATTTTATGTTATATAGTATATGTCACCCTCATCTTAATAAACTTTTGATTTTAATTAGATTTGATGTACTTGTCATAAACCGGGCTGAAATTCTAATATTATGTTTCATGTATAAGTACATGGAAAGACAAAATAATTTTTTACAATGAAAAAACTGTGATAAAATGGAGATAAATATTTTTTTTTTGTAGTCTCATTATTCAAAACTTATGTTCAATATATTAAGATTTATAAATCAAAGGGGAACCTTGATGTAATTAGTAAGGTTGCTTTCATGTGATCGGGATATTATGGATTTCAGCCGTAAAAACAGTCTCTTGCAGAAATGCAGGATAATGCTATATGACCTCACGCATAACGGGAGCTTAGTGCACTGGGTTAGTCTTTTTTTTGAATACCAAGATTTATAAATCATGGCTTGGGCTAATGTTTTTGTTGAGTCGTCAAATACAAAAAGCTCATAAATTAAGAATTATTTGAGGTTATTGTGTGATTGCAAAATCTCACTTAAAGCTGCTATTTAGAACCTATTTCTAGGATATTTCCATAGGGTAACACTTTACACAATAGTAATGAAATTATAAACAATGATTTAATTGAAGGTGGGGGAAGCGCGTGGGACCATTGATGAGTTAGTGCAAATGTCTTTTACCAATGGAATCTTTATTTCACGTTCTCATTTTCCTTCCTCCTAAGATAAAGGAAAACACTTTGGTTTAACAATTTCCGTCTTCCTTTTTATATCTTTTTAATTTCTTCCTACTACTGTACATCTTTTCTTGAGGGAATAATTTCTTATCACCGGCTTCAATTTGAATTGAAATATATAATTCTCATTTGTCTTCGTTCCTACGGCAAATTCTCAGATATGGTGAGAATTTTTTTTATTTAAAAGAAAAGCACTAAAATGAGAATAATTGAAAGGACAGAACATTTGCTAAGCAATATTATTTATCCTGATATATTATTTCTTTGTTTTGTATGTTCTATTAATTTTGAAATAGTCAATTTTATTGCCTTATTCAGGGATTACTATTCCATCATCTGACAGAAATAAATTATCCTGATGCTATTTTTAATACTAGAATAACTTATCTCAGGATAAATAACCCAACAAGGGAGAAGGCGACACTAAATTTTTATCCCGAAATTATTTTTGTTTGTCTAACGTACCAACCGACCTCTAAAAGATGCGATGAGATGGTTGATTTATGCACATTTAATTAGAGACCTTAAGTGCAAACTTTAACAAAAACGATTTTTTTTTTTTTGACAAAAAAAATAGCTTAATTTCTTTTAACAAGACTATTCAATCGAGATTAGTTGATATAAAGTAAATCTCAAATATCTGTTGGTAAAAAAAGGACAAATGGACGTCAGATTTAAATCAAAATGCGTGTGTTTTCTTCTAGTATTGGTCTTCTGAAGTCCGTGTCATTTGAGCCTAATGAGGACTCGGATCTGCATATATTCACGTCATTTTACATACTATTTAAATCCATTTGACACTGATCCTTCTCTTCCTTTTCTCTTTTCACAGGTTTCCTTTTGAATCCAAAGTATGGTATGAACAATCGGGATTTTGGTGGAACGGTAAGTACTATATTCTTCAGATTCGAGCTTCAAATATAAAAAAAAAAAATTGTTAGGGAGCATTGTACCTTCTACTGTGGGACTTGATCACAATGCGCATAGCGAATACCGGGTGGAAACCCCATAAAAATTGAACCTAGCTTACTTTACCTCATTCAAAAGTTACAATTAATATATATTAATTTATGAGTTAATAATGCTTATAGGTAAAAGGTCTTAGTTCCAAGTTTGTAAAGCCTTCAAAGTTCAAATTCAAGAAAGAAATAAGCTTGATAACTTGAATGAAGATAGAATAAGACAATTATGTAGAGTACATATATGAATGCTTATTTCTGGTGGCTGCTTTTACTAATATGCTTTTGTAAGCATTAATAATAATATTCTCTTTTGGTGTAGGGACTGGAATTTGTAACAACTTCCATGCATTCCTTAGCTGACGAACCTTATCTTTTTTTAAAAATAATCTACTTCTGTACCTAACACTTTTGTCTCCAGATGTTGCATTCTAAAGATTAACTTTTCAATTTTTTTTAAAAAAAACAAAAATCTCTTTTGTTTTTTTTTAATAATCATGGAGACTTTTTAAAACATTACTTAGCTCGATAAATATCCAGAACAAGGCACTTCACTTTATCTAAAGTGATAATTTTAAAAAGCATTTAAAAGAAGAGAAAAAAAAGTTCAGCCTTAACAATCAAAAAGTGAGAGTTCTAATTGAATCTTTAATCTTTTCCTTTGCAATAAGTTTAATGATCCAATATGTTGCTATGCATCTAAAAGACAGCTGAATGTTTTGAAGAATATTCTATAACTTATAAACATTTACTTGCATAGCCTAATTGACGTGAGCCCTGGAGTAATTGGTAAATTTGCAGTCATATGACCAGGAGGTCATGGGTTCAAGCCGTGGAACAGCCTCTTAAAGAAATGTAGGGTAATGCTGCGTACAATAGATTTTTGTGGCCCGGCCCTTCCCCCGATCCCGCACATATCGGGAGATTAGTGCACTGGGCTGCCCTTTCATGCACAACCTAATTCCGACCCAAAACTCATACATATAAATTAAAATATAACTAAAAGTGAATTAATCTTTCTCCCAAAATTCACGATATTTCTATCTTTTATTTTCCATTTCAAGATTTTCATTCAAATTGATAATGATTATTGTTTTAAAAGCTCTTTGTCGTATAAATACATTTTAAAGAAAACATTCAAGCATACTTGGTATAAACTGAATTACACTAGTTTTTCAAGCACTACATATCTATCTTGATCTAACAATTGGTTAAGTGGTTGCCTTACCTTGCACTTAGGTAAATTTGCATCTTTTTGTTAGGATCGAAATAATCAGGTGTCCTGTGGAAGCTAGCAAAGCAAATCTTGAAAGACAATAAATCATATAACAAAAAAGAAATATACCAAAAGAGACACAAATATATAACGTGGTTTGGTCAACTGACATATGTCCACAACGGAAATGAGCAATCCACTATAATAAAAAAAAAAGTACAAAATATCGAGAGAATACCCTCACGAAGAGGCAAACATAAGTGACTCACTAACACTTGTCCCGTAAAGTTCTCCCCCTAAACACGACTCTCAAACCCCATATAGCTACACAGTGGATGCCACTGAATAAGAAGGAAGGATCCTAAATTTATAGAAGTCCAAATTTTTTCCTACAAGAAAAGGTACTAGCCAAATATGAAAAATTATATTTTCCTTCTAGAAAAAAATCCAAGTATGATAAATATGTTGACATTTCCTTCGTGAGATAGGAAAATCAATTATGATAAGAAAATCTAGACAAACATCTAACACTTTAGCACTAACCAATTAGTTCACATAAAACTTCCTCTTTATGTAAACTTTAGATCATAAATTATTTAACAAAATCGACAGTTGGTACACTATTACTTATAAGGATCGTTTGGTACGGTGGATAAGTAAAAATAATTTTGGAATATCGGGATAACTTAATAGTAATTTCATGATAAAGCACTAAAATTGACAACCCTAATTTTTTTTTAGGTAACAGATAATCCTAGAATTAATATAACATACCAAACAATCAATAAAAAATAATACCGGAATAACTAATCCCAACATAACTACTTGCAGCATACTTTGTCTTCGAACCAAACGACCGAGGAGTAAGTCTTTGTCACTCGTAGAAAAACAACAACAACAACAACAACAACAACAACAACAACCACCTAGTATAATCCCACTTAGTGGAGTCTGGGGAGGGTAGTGTGTACACAGACCTTACCCTTACCCTAGTGTAGAGAGGTTGTTTCCAAATAGACCCCCGACATCCTTTCCTCCAAGAACTTCCCACCTTGCTCTTGGGGAGACTCAAACTCACAACCTCTTGGTTGGAAGTGGGAGTTGCTTAACATCATACTAACACCTTTTGTCACCCGTAGAAAAAGTGTGTCCAAATTCCCAAAGATATTTCTTGAGGGGGGTTATGGAGAGAAAATCAGTAAGGAATAGGGCGAGGGGGGATGACATTAAAAAGAGGATTGAAGGAACTTTTTTGGTTGTCCAAAAGGAAAAAGTTTGTGTCTGTACTTCTTTGGGGTACTAATGCGAGTATGATAACATTGGAATTGTTTCTTTTGAAAGTGATATCAACTCTATACTTTGTGGGATTTAAGTCATCACCTTTTATTTAAAAGAATGAAAGAAAATATTGTGCTTTTTTTTTCACTTTAGTGTTGGCTTGGCCTACTTTGGTATTAAGGTAACAAATTTGCTTTGATTGACCAAATTAGTGTGCATAATGGGATTTCCCTCCCTTTTCTCATTGCCAACAACTTCCATCCACGTAATGGTTTCTACTTTTAACATATATCCTTGGTTGAATTACAATATGTTGATATCAACCTTAGAATGATAAGGACGTTT